CCTATGGGACTGCAGCAGCAGCAGCAGCAGGGTATGATAAGTCCGCAGCAGCAGCAGCAGCAGCAGCAGCTGCAGCAGCAACAGGTATACATGCGGCCGTTGGCCCAATCCCCAAGTAAGCCGTGAATGACTCAACCAGCAGCAGCAGCAGCAGCAGCAGCAGCAGCAGCAGCAGCACCATTAGCAACACCAGCAGCAGCAGCAACAGCAACAGCAGCAGCAGCAGCAGCACCATTAGCAACACCAGCAGCAGCAACAGCAGCAGCAGCAGCAGCAGCAGCAGCAGCAGTATTATTATTTTGTGTTGCATGCGTTTTCTTTCTTTATGCTGCAGCTCCTCTCTCTCTCAATTCTGCTGCTTTGGGGCCCCCCTCCTTCGATTCCCAGTCTGTCCCGGTGGGGCCCCCTGTCTCTCACCCCAGCAGCAGCAGCAGCAGCAGCAGCAGCAGCAGCGGCAGCAGCAGCAGCAGCAGCAGCAACGCAGTTGACAGAGGGGTACCGGGGGGCCCCCGCACCTCCCCCCGCACACGGGCGTCTCAAACCTTCGTGAGGTCGGGGGCCCCCATTCGTGCTGCTTCTGTTTCAGCAGCAATAGCAGCAGCAACAGCAGCAGCAGCAGCAGCTGCTGCTGCTCCTGCTGCAGCAACTAGCCCTGGGGCAAAGGAAAGCCCCATGGGGTCCCGCCAGGTGCAGCAGCAGCATCAACAGCAGCAGCGTCACCAGCATCAGCGGCATCAGCAGCAGCAGCGTCATCGGCAGCAGCAACAGCAGCAACAGCAGCAGCAACAGCAGCAGCAGCAGCAGCAGCAGCAGCAAGAGCCGCCGCTTAGACGCCTCATCATGGCCAGAAGGGCACGCATGCGTCTGAACCCTATACTGCGCTACCTGCAGGGCCCCATGAGGGCCCCCAGCCCCTGCCGGGGGGCCCCCCCGTCGACGGGGGGCCCCCCGTCTCAGCCTGCGGACCCTTGTGAGGCGAATGAGGTACCTGAAGAGGCCCCATCTGCTGCTGCTGCTGCTGCGTCCTCTGCTGCTGCTGCTGCTGCTGCGCCGTCTGCTGCTGCTGCTGCTGCAGCAGCAGAAGAAACACCCGTTATACGAGGCTGCGCAACGCCCATAGAAATTGAGAGATATTATGAGACTGCAGCAGCAGCATCAGCAGCAGGAGCAGGAGCAGCAGCAGCAGCAGCAGCAGGAGCAGCAGCCGCTGCAGCAGCAGCAGCAGCAGCAGCAGCGACGGGTAGCATACCGGGTGAATCAGCATCAGCAACAGCAGCAGCAGCAGCAGCAGATAAAGCAGGACTCAATGCTGCTGCTGCTTCTGTTAAGGATGATTCGCTGCAGTGGTGCGTGCAGCAGATACAGCAGGTGCTGCAGCAGCACCCCGAAGCAGCAGCAACAGCAGCAAGACTCAGAGGCAATCGCCCCATGCTGCACCAGGCCATCCTAGCGCATGCAGCAGCAGAAGCAGGTGGCTGCGGCTACCCCTTGGGGGGGGCCCCCACTACCCCGGGGGCCCCCGGAACCCCTGCGGGCTCCGCAGGGGCCCCGGGGGGCCCCGGGGCCCCCGGGGCCCCGGGGGCCCCCGGGGGGCCCCCCCGTGAAGGTGTTGGCCGGTGGCTTGATGTAGAGATGGTTCCACCACCCCCAGAACTAGAAGAGGTACTGGTGATCATTGCTGCTGCTGTCAAAGTCTACATAGCAGGTATGCTGCTGCTGCTGCTGCTGCTGCTGCTGCTGCTGGGGGTGTTGCTGGTGCATCTGTTGCTTCTGGTGCTGTTGCTGCTGATGCTGGGGGTGTTGCTGGTGCTGCTGTTGCTGCTGCTGCTGTTCCTGCTGGTGATCCTGCTCTTACTCTTGCTGATGGTGGTGGCGCTGGTGGTGGTGTTGGGGTTGGGGGTGCTGCTGCTGTCGCTGCTGCTGTTGCTGCTGCTGTTGCTGCTGCTGTTGCTGCTGCTGGTAGAGGGGTGTTGCTGCTGTTGCGGCAGCTTAGACATCTCTGCCCAAGTTCACAGTTTCTGTTTCAGTAGCCAGGCTTTTCA